GTGAAGAAACCTGCATGTCTGAGAAATAAGAAAAAAATATTTCCAAGACATGTGAAGTTCGCCAACACGCATTGGGGCAGCGCGGCGGACATTTCCTTGCCCTAAAACCATCTTAAAAATGAGAGGAGGCCTGTGCCCAGCAGTAGGACGTAAATAGGCTGCATCTTTACTTTTTTACTTTACAGAATAAGGGTAAGAAACGAGCACACAGTCCACCTGATTATAAGGGGATGTTGTGGTTCATAGACATTTAGACTGTGGTTAGTCAGGCTAATGCTCGTTGTATGTATGACACGATATGACAAGGTTATACAGGAATAGGTATGCCTAATTGGAGTAGGACCAAGCTTGCAAAGAATACCAGCGTGAAACGGCACGGCGGCCAGTCTCAATGGAGACTAGAAAGGGCAGAAAACGATTATAGTGAACAAGTGAGTGCGGAAGCACTCTCTCTATTCCCTCTCTGCTCCCTGAAACTTTCATAGTTTGATGGGATAACAATCTGACACGATTGATTATATTACTGGTTTTGCTCTTCAGCTCAGTATGTTTTTGAATCCTTCCCTAAAATAAAACATTAAACGAAGCACAGCTTTATATAACCATAATGATATAATAGTACCAGAGGAAGAAATACTGTGTGAAAGAACTAAGACTGCCAGATTTTATGACTATAAAAAAGACAAAGATTGATCGGCCAAAATTATATCAAAGTCGTTAAAGTTTTTAAATAATGCTTAGAATTATAGCAATTCCATGTTATAAACAAAGATTGAATGAACTCTATAGGTCTTTGAATGATTACCAAAATATCATATGTTTATGCGTGGTAAAACCACGTTGCAGCTATATTATAGTTGAACCACGAATGGATCGGCTCGAAAAAACTACACTCTTACAAAATACCACCGTAAAATAGCATCCAATGCTGCTGTGTGTCGTATGTGTGTGTGTTAAATTGCAATGGAGGATAAATGTAGATTTTATGGGCCGCAGTATCCACTTACCATAAGGTGTACTGTGTGCTCGTTTGTCACTGATATTCTCTAAAAAAATGATTTTTGGTTGTTTTTTTCACATAAGGGTGAGTTTTTTTGAGTTTTTGATTACATAATAAAAGAACACTTAATTTTATGTATGTATGTTTCTTCCTTTGTGGCGTTCTAGAGACCAAACGCGTGGGTCAATTTTGATGATTCTTAAGTCTATCGATTTGTCTTAATATTGTGTGACATAAAAGACATGACAGTAATCAAAATTCAGTATGGCGACAACCAGACGCCATATTGCTTAAAAGAAAAAAACTTCGACGAACTATGTCAGGTGGGGTATCATTGATTAAGTCTTTGAAAATCCTATTTAGGTTTCTGTAGTCATTTTTCATTTTGAATGACATTAAGGATCTATAACGATTTAAAGTTGGTAAGCGACCACTCTCGCTTCAATAGTCAAAACTTATAATAAAGCTGCTATACAGTTCTTTTATATTTGCTTAATTGATAATTAGTAATATATTTACGCAGTCAAGTATTTTTAAACAGTATTAAACTTGCTTGTTTATAAGATTACCTTCATAAACAATATATGCTTTGCAAAGTAATAACATTTCAATCAGTATCTGTACATAGCCTGTTCAATAACCTGATTTATTTTGCGACTCGTCAAAGGGCACATAGTCGATACACGCGTTTACTTCGCAGCAAGCATTTGGTCGTTAGTGTTGATTCTGTTCGTACGACGAATTCAAATTCAAATTCAAATTAATTTTATTTGCCAGAATGTAGGTGTACAATAAAGTTTGATCTTAAATTATATCTAATGGCCCATTTACATTCTACCACTGCATATGGTGTGCAAACATTTTATAGGTATACATGCAAAAAATTATTTAAACAGAAAATAGAAATTATTAAAAACAAATTGATTATCTGAAGTCAAAATTATCATGTCAATTCAAACGATAAATCATAAAATGTCAGATTATTTAGTAAGGTATACATTTATAATTATTAAAAACAAATTAATTAATTGCAGTCATAATTATAATGTCAATTTAAATGAAAATTTTTAAAATGTTAGATCATGTAATAAACGTACTAGTTAGTTACCTATATATGTATCAATATTACTGATGTCAGATTTATAATTCGCAATAAGATATAAATTCCTTGAAGTCGTAAAAACATTTTTCCTTTAACCATTGTGTCAACTTTTTTTTAAACATGGTTAAAGGTAATTCTTTAAATGAGTTGGGCAATTTGTTATATACCTTTATAGCATTAACATAAGAATTCCTTTTATGCAATTCTAGTCTGCATTGAGGTAAATAGAGCTTATGTTTATTTCTAGGAGCTACATTTCGTTTACTTACATCTATATGCTTTTCAAAGTGTTCCGGATGTTGTTTTACAAATAGGCATACTTCTTTAATGTACAAGCATGGTAATGTCAAGATATTGTACTTTTTAAACAAAGGCTTACAGCTATCCGTACACCAGGCTCCATAGATTGCACGCACACATTTCTTTTGTACTCTAAACACTTTTTTTATATCCACCGAGTTGCCCCACAATAAAATACCATATGAGAGTACGGACGAAACATAACCGTGATATGCACATAGAGCAGCTTCAGTTGATACCGTGACTCGTAATCTTTTTATTGCATAGACAAATCTGTCGAGTTTGTCACAAATGTAATCGACATGAGTTTTCCAGTTGCAATTTTGATCCAACATTATACCCAGAAATTTTGTACTTACTACTTGTTCGATGATTGTATCCTTATATTTAACATTAATATTCAATGGTTGTCTTTTAGATGTTTGAAATTGGATCATTTTAGTTTTATCAATATTAATTTGTAAATTATTACAATAAAGCCAGTCTATTATGTTTTTAATAGCCATATTTACCTCTAGTTCATATGTATCTGCATTTTCACATTTCACGATAACGGTTGTGTCATCAGCAAACAAGATTGTGTTGTGGCGAGTGATATTAGGGAGATCGTTAATATAAATGAGGAATAAAAATGGTCCCAATATACTGCCTTGTGGCACGCCAAAATTAATTGACTGATAGTCACTTCTATATAAAACTTTTTTGTCTTTATGGATTTTAGATATTTCCACGCATTGTTGTCTGTCACATAAGTAAGTTCTCAACCAGTCGTTAGCTTTACCTCTTATTCCATATTTTTCTAATTTGAATAAGAGTAGTTTGTGGTCCACGAAATCAAACGCCTTGCTCATGTCCAGGAAGACTGCCGCAACTGGTAAGCCATCATTTATAGCCTGGGTGACTATTTTAATCAAGTTAAAACATGCTAATGAAGTTGTACTATTTTGTTTAAACCCAAATTGCTCATCTTTAAGAATACGATGACTTGTCGTAAATTCTTGAAGTCTTTTCAACATAGTCTTTTCGAAGATTTTTGACAAGATGGGTATAAGCGTCACTGGCCTATAGTTATTCATATCAGATGCGTTGCCTTTCTTAAAAAGTGGCCTTACAATAGAGTTTTTCAATATATTTGGAAAAGTACCTTCTTCAAAAGACATATTAATCAAATAACATAGCGGTTGACATATGTATGGTGCAGATAATTTTATTGCAGTGGTTGTGATGTTATCAAACCCTACTGCGTTTGTGTTCTTAAGACTGTTAATTATCCGAAATATATCCATTGCATCAGTAGGTTTAAGGAATATTGTATATTCATTATTAGTATTTATAGTCATGTTTATTTCGTCAACATTATATTTAAAATTATTTTCATTTGTCAATTGTATATAAAATTCATTAAATATGTCACAAATTTTTTTTGGGTCGTCATATATCCGATTATTTTTAATTATTTTGTCAATTTGCTTTTTCATGTTTTGGTCGTCAATATTTTCATTAATAACCGTCCATGTGGCTTTACATTTATTTTTATTATTTTCAATATAATTCTTACTTTGTAATTGTCTCGATTTATATATGCACTTTTTAAGTATGGAATTGTATGCTTTATATGTTTTATTGATTGTTTTCCTGTTTGTTTTATTATGTTGTTGACTAAGATAGAGATATCTTTTTCTTATACAGGATTTTCTAATGCCCTTCGTCAACCATTTATGGTTCCCTTTTTTAGTTGCCCTTTTTATTGTATTTATTGGGAAGCAAAGATCAAAAAATAATTTAAATAAATCATAAAATTCGATAAACGCCTCTTGCAAGTTATTTTTTTCGTATAAATTTGAGAAAGTAAGAGATGATACGCAACTACAGAACTTGTCCATGTTTTCTTTACTATAATCTCTGACATCCTCATACCAAGAGCATATTTCGTACGATTTTGTAGTTTTGAGCGAAAGTGTTTGTCCCGTTTCGTGATCAGACAAGGCAAGGTGATGTATTTCCGCTTTAACTTGCTTGATGTTGCTTGCAAATTGATCGAGACATGACAATTGTCTTGTTGGTGTCTGAATGTGCAACTCAATGTTATAGTTTTTAAACATACTTTGTAACTCTTCGCAACTCTTGTTTGGCTTTAAGATGTCCAAGTTCCAGTCACCGCAAAGAATAATTTTTTTATGTTTTCTAGTAAGTCTTGCTTGTAACTGTTTTAGCTTTTCAAGAAATATTTGTGGATTGCTATTAGGAGTTCTATATAAACAAATGATTATAATCTTATTTACTTCTACGCCACAACATTCAAAATAAAATTTACATGCTAAGTCATTAATATTAGTCACGTTTTTGTATATCAAATTATTATTTATCATTATACATACCCCTCCTCGTTTAGTGTCCCGTGAATACGATGCAACTAGTTTGTAACCAGGTATTTTCAAAAGCATTTCTGTACCTTTTTTAATGAAAGTTTCTGTCAAACACACCATATCTATCTTTGGACCTTTTTGTGACAACTCTTGGATTGCAAATGATAGTTCCTCAGTTTTATTTACAGCGCCGGCGATGTTCTGGTGAAATATTCTAAAATTGAATTTAGAGTTAGGGACGAAAACATGTTTTCGCTTGTAAAGGCAACTGTGGGTCAGGTTGTCTATTTAAACACGGTATTGACTTTTTAAAATAATAAGGTATGGTTCCCTTTTTATGAGTCTCGGTATTTACTATTTCCATTTTGTTCAAAAACGCCGTAGTAGAGTTTACTTCCTGGCAATTATCCCCTGAATGTACATTTTTACAAGACTTAAAGTAAAAAGGAATTGTTCCCTTCTTAGGAATAGTTGTGTATTCTATTTTAGCCTTTTTCCTTAACAATAACATATTTTTAGGACATAAAAATTTTATTTTAATAATAATTTGAGTCAATCTTAAAATTAATTTTTTTACATACATCTAATAAGTAGTAGTATTTATTGTACGGATAGTCACATTCTACATTTATAAATGAGCAATTTTTAAAGTTGTTACATATAATTTTTAAATTGTTATTTAACATACTTTCATTTAAGTACCTGTTCTGTAAAACATTAAATACTAATATTTTAGTTTTTTTTAAATATTTTAGCATTGATACTAATTCTATTATTATTTTGTTAGGGTTAGTGTCATTTTCTCCTATGCATATAATTAGATAATTATCTTCGCAATCGTTCAATTTATAAATAGATTTAAGAATTTCCTCTGTAGTGGCATAGGGTTTTGTAGTTGAAAAGACCTGGTAATCTTTGTACTGATTGTTATTTCTAGATTGTATAAGTAGTGTGGCCAATCCTGTAAATTGTTGTCCTCCAAATATAATTAATTGGGATTTTGTTTTGTTGTCAATGGGTTTAAAAGGTTGCTGATTATTAATTACTTTATTTTCTTCATGCAGATTTAATATAGCGCCATCTGTTTTGTATTGATCGCACTTTTTAAAGTTAAGTTTATGGACTTGTGAAGACCCGTTCTTGCTCATATTGCGTGTAGCGAATTCAGTTGTGTTTCCTTCAGAAGATTTTGTCTCAAGATCAATGAAAGACATATCCAGTTTCTTTCTATGAACAATATTTAGATTTTTTACCTTACATCTTTGTTTTTTTATAGTTGAATTTTTTTTTGTACTACTTTGTGTTTCGCTACAGATTTTTTTTAAATTTGTAATAGTATTTTGTTGTTCAGCTGTTTGTTTTTTCAAAGTGTTGTTTTCCATGATCAAGTTATCTCTTTCGTTGTTAGCGGTATTTAATTGCATTCTCAACTGTTCAATTTCCTCCTTTAGTCTTTCAAACTCTTCATAACTTAAGCTGGATGACAATTGAGGTAAACTTTTTGAAAGATAATCGGAATTTGTTGACTCGAATGAAGAATTTGGCGAGTTAAGTATTGTTTTATTTTTTCTTACAGTAATATTTTCAAAATTCATGTCGTTTTTTTTTTGTGCTTGTCGTTCTATACCGTAAAAAAAAATTCTTCAAAAATACAAAATAATAAATTGTGATGGGATTCGAACTCGCGATTATTAGTTACAAAATTCGAAACAAGCACGAAACGTTAGTGGCTAATTAGACATCAGGCGATACGTCGAATTTAAGGATGTTGTTCAGTTCATATGAAATTTGAATCAAATAAATTCGTTACGGTGACTCATGGATAAAATATTTTTGCACTGACTTTCACAACACTTTAATGTTTAGCACTGGTTTAGTCGTTGTTATAGATCACAGTTACAGATTTTCTTATGATAACTACACTGACACTATTTTCTTTTTCTGTTTTAATGTTTTATTAACTGTAATTAACGTAGACTAATGACTGAATGTAATTGAAATTTTATTGAGAGTTTTATTTAATTATTTGTAAAAATTATCACTGGATAACACTTTCACTTATACTTTATAGTTTCAGCAACAATATTTATAAGTTTATAGTCTTAAAAGAGCGATATTACTTTTTAGAGATTTTTTTGAATACAGATCCGATGTTATCGTGACAACTAGCGCCATCACACACCCAAGAATCAAGCTAGCACTTGTGAGTACACAATATGATAACAAACCGTTTCGCTTTAAAATAATGTTGTCAAAAACATAACTTGTAAAAAAAACCAAGTCTTGCAACTCAGTTCTTCTACCGTAAAAAGTTGTGAGATACATGTAATACCAAGTCGGTTAATTTATTCAGTCCCTACTTAAGGGTCTTTCTGTCTTAAGTTATTACGTAATTAGCTAACTAAACAACATCTTATAGTGACGACATCAATACTAAAATCTTTTATATTTTAAATAAATAGATTGACTTGGCCATCGCATGAAAACACAATGTATCTCTCAAGTAATACATATTATATTAAATTAGATTGTTTAGTGCGATTGCCAAGACAATTTATTTAGTTAAAACATAAAAGATTCTTAATATTGATATGGTCACTATGAGATGTTGTTAAGTTGGCTAATTACGTAATAACTTAAGACAGAATGACCCTAAAGTAAGGACTAAATAAATAAAACCAACTTGGTACTACATGGATCTCACAACTTTTTACGGTAGAAGAACTGAGTTGCGAGACTTGGTTTTTTTTACAAGTTATGTTTTTGATTTACCGTGTAGTAGCGGTTAAGAATATCCACTACCCCATATCTTCCCGTGGGGGTCGTAAAAGGCGACAAAGGGAAACAGGCAGGAGATGGGCAGCAGCATCTTCCTGATAACAGCAAAAATACAATAAAAAAACTGCGGTTGCCAACCCGCTCGCCAAGCGTGGCAACTATGGCAAATACACCCCTATGAATTAATGTAACAAAGAGACGGCCCCCAGTCCCCGACGGCCCCGCTATTCCTGGCTACGGTGGCGATTATGGTAACGGCGGGGCAGGGGGTGCTAAGAAACTCCGGTGGAGATTCGGTTGCCACCTTAGACGACTCGACCTGGCAACATACAACGCACGCACCCTGAGGACTGACGAGAAGATTGTGGAGCTGGAAGAAGAGATAGACAAGTTACGCTGGCATATTATAGGATTATCCGAAGTCCGAACAGAGGGGGAGGTAACGGTAATCCTCGAATCCGGCAACTTGTTCTATTACCGGGAGGGCAACCATCTCTCCCAAGAAGGTGTCGGATTTATCATCCACAAGTCCTTCGTTAACAACGTTGTAAAGATTGAGAGTGTGTCGACGAGGATTGTGTACCTTATATTCAGAATCACCAAACGGTATTCGCTGAAGGTCATACAGGTTTACGCACCAACATCGGCACACCCCGATGAGGAGGTGGAGGAAATGTATGAGGATATCTCTAGAGCCATGCATTCCTCCAAAACCCAATATACGGTGTTAATGGGAGACTTCAATGCAAAACTAGGCACAAGAGAGAACGGTGAGATGAAAGTAGGGAAATTCGGAATAGGGCAACGGAACCCAAGGGGCCAGCAGCTGGCCGACTTCATGGAGAAAGAGGGACTCTTCATGATGAACTCTTTATTCCAGAAGCGGCTCCACAGGAAGTGGATCTGGTCGAGTCCTGACGGTTCGACAAAAAATGAGATTAACTTCATTATGACTACCAGACGATAACTTTTCAGTGATGTCTCAGTGATCGCGAGGGTGAAAACCAGCAGCGATCACCGAATGGTTAGAGGCACACTGAACCTAAACGTTAAGTTGGAGAGGTCTCGTCTAATGAAGTACATCACTCACCTTCCATTTGCCGACGATATAGTCCTTATGGCAGAATCGCTGGAGGATCTAAACACTACGCTCAATGACCTCAATAGTGTTTCCCAACGGATAGGTCTTAAGATGAACATGGACAAAACAAAGATCATGTTTAATGTCTATGTCACACCTATGCCGGTAGTTGTTGGGAGCACTAAGCTCGAAGTTTTTGACGAGTATGTTTACCTGGGACAAATAGTCCGACTAGGTAAGTCCAACTTCGACCGAGAGGTCAATCGACGAATTCAACTCGGTTGGGCGGCGTTAGGGAAATTACGACACATCTTCTCGTCAGGTATACCTCAAAACTTGAAAACGAGACTGTATAACCAGTCCGTGTTGCCAGTGATGACTTATGGAACTGAGAAGTGGACCTTCACTGCTGGCCGGATGAGCAAGCTCAAGGTCACTCAGCGAGCTATGGAGAGGGCTATGCTCGGAGTCTCTGCGTGATAAACTCAGAAATGAGGATATTCGCAGTAGAACCAGAGTGACCGACATAGCCCAACGGATTAGTAAGCTGAAGTGGCAATGGGCCGGCCATATAGCTCGAAGAACCGACAACCGATGGTGAAAAAAGGTTCTCGAGTGGCAGCCTCGTACCGGCAGGCGAAGTGTTGCGAGTCCCCCCACTAGATGGAGTGACGACCTGGTGAGATGTTCAGGAAGTCGATGGATGAAGGTGGCTCAGGACCGTGCTTTGTGGCATTCCTTGGGGGAGGCCTATATTCAGCAGTGGACTTGTGAAGGGCTGTAATGATAATGATGATGTTTTTGAAGGCATCTCATCTCTTTTTGTAGATAGTTATTATATCTACGTATACCTATCTACACCTATTATTCCATTATATTATACATAATATATAGGTACACTGATTCATTCACTGCAAATGTAACTTTGTAATCCTATATATTTATATGGGATTACAATGTTATTTATGCAGTTGGTGTATCTCGTAAACTGGAGTGAACTTGCAAAATATTTTAATTTTTCCTTGATTTATTTACTAAACAACAATTGTATTCAAAATTTGAAGCTTCTATGTCTGCTGGAAGTGCCTTAGACTTTTGATGATCTGTCAGTCAGTGAGTGACAAAATTACGAAAGTTTGACTAGTTATAATTCTTAAACTACTGATTTAAATTTAATGAAATTTGAAATATACCGAGTGTATACAATGCCTACTTGGCTAATGAAAATTCAGGCTTCTAGTTTTATCCACAACGAAGTTATAGGGTTTCTAAAATGGCCTGAACTGTTTCGAGAAAAGGATGGTACGGCCTTGCCGCTTTTTTGCTCGACTTGGCAGGGGCATTGCCGTGCTCCCAAAATAAATCTAGTAGCTTACCATTACCGTTACTACCTACCAAAGCCCACTGCATTTTATTTCTTTCAAAACTAGCTGTTTCCGGCGTCTTCTATCACGTGGAGTTAATTACGATTGGATTTAATGGGTTATAAGTGTTTTGCTCGGATCCTTAATTATTTTTCTAAAACATAAAAGTAGCCTTAGTTACTCCTTATAAAATTAACTATCTGCCAGTGAATATCCTGTGAAAGTTCGTGTAGCCATTACGAAGATTAGCCCGAACAAACAGACAGACAAGCATAAAGAGAAACAAAACATTAAAATTGTTTTTTTTGTTAAATTCTGAATTTCAATACTGAACACTACATGTAACATTTAGAATTATGTCGTTCTTATTGTAAAATGTGTTAAATTTAGAGTATTATTTTAGGTTATGTTACTATTGCAATAAACACCGGGTGTGTTTTTGAAATTTATTTAAAAATCACAAATTTATTTTATAATTATTATTATTAGTTGACCTTCTTAACAATCGTGACGATAATGGATACTAATGTAATAAAGTGGAAAAGTTTTTTTTTTGTTTGTTTAAACGTACTGCGTATCACTAGAATTACCACTCCGATTTGAAAAATTATTTTTGTATAAAATAGCCAAATTCATGAAGTATCATGAATAGTATAGGCTATCCTTAAATTAGGCTATATCTCTCAGCTAGCCTTAAATATTGATTTTTGTTAAGCAAATCAAGAAAAAACGCTCTCAAAATGATTTATCCGCGTGCGCTGGTGTTATAGTTAGTGATAATAAATTCAACTAGCAGTTAACCACTTTTCTATCCTGAAGAAAATTGTGACCATTCGGATAAAGATCGAGATTACATAGCAAATGCAGAAAGTAGTAGTTCTAGTGAAATATAATCTACTTCTATACTATTTATATGTATACTTCTATATATAGTCTAGAAAAGTAGTGTAGTGGGGTTGGGGGTAGTCCCCTACAGTAGAAACAGAATAATTTAAAATAAGTATTTTGTACAACCGACTTTAATATAAATTATTAAGAATAACTCAAAAACTATTGGTTAGACCTTCATTAAATATATAACGCACCACATATAAAGCACCAGCATTCAAATAAAAAAAATCATCGAAATTGGTTCACTCAGAAAAAAGTTATGAGGTAACATACATAAAAAAACATACAGTCGAATTGAGTACCTCCTCCTGTTTGAAGTCGGTAGAAAAATATATTAAAATAAAATTATGACAGACATCAAGAAGAAAGTCACAAATGACAGAACTAAACAGAACTTAATGTTTTTGAAGGTGATGCAGTTCACTTATTAATTGAGCGACAGATTAAATGCCATAATATAAGAAATGGCCCCATGTATGCA